ACACACACACACACACACGTATATATACATACATTTACATGTGAACACAAACACAGTAACGTGCACACAGAGATGAAAAGGAAAACAGCTCAATTCTTATAGTGGCCGATTGCCTTCTCCTAAAAACCTCTGCCCACGACCCACGCCGGGATGGCGGCGGCGATCTAACAGGTGTTTGTCCGGCAGTCGTCAGTCTTGTCCTTTCCCTCTTCTTGAAGTTCATCCCCACTATTCCTTCTCTTTCCTCCTCCTTATTATTATTGTTATTATGTTTACTCCTCCTCCTCCTGCTTTTCTTATTCCTTTTACTTCTCTACCTCCTTCCCTTTTCTTCTTCCCTTCTTCCTCCTCTTTCTGCTCCTTTTTTCCCTCCTCCTCTTCTTTTCCCCCTCCCATCCTCCTCTTTGTCGTCTTCCTCTTCCCCTCCTCCTCCTCTTCCCCCTTCCCTCCTCCTCTTTTCGCTCTCTTTTTCCTCCTCCCTCCCCCTCCCTTCTCTTCCTCCTCCCTCCCCTTCCCTCCTCTTCCTCCCCCTCCCCTTCCCTCCTCTTCTTTTCCTTCCCCCTCCTCCTACTCCTACTCCTCTTCTCCTTCTCTACCACCACCTCCTCCTCCTCCTCCACTTTCCCCCTCCTCCTCCTCCACTTCTCCAGAGCACCGAAGGACGAGTAACCAGCAACCTTGGTAACTCGTGAAGCACAGTCACCTCGGTTGCCTCACAATCGAACGTATACACCGGCGATTGATGCGTAAAAACAATGGTATCCGTCCGCACACATATCCGCAACTTACGCCCATACGCATATCCGGCTCGGTGGTGTTCTCTGTGCCTGGGTGGGATGCGGATGAGATCCTACGGGACCGCTCATTTCCTCCTCGGCGTCTGGCTGTTGACTGCATAATGTAAACAGGTGAAGGATCTGCGGGTAAACCGTGAGGGGGGTAGGGGAGGGGGGGGTTACGGTTTATTATTATTTCGTCTTGTTATTATTGTTGTTGTTATTGTTTTGTTTTATATATTCCTGATCGACGTGTTGTGTAAACTTTAGAGGACTTATTATTGTTATTGTTTTGTTTTATATATTTTAAAGCGTTTTTGTAAACTTTGAGAGTAAAGTGAATACGTGTTTTTGATTATCCGTCAAATTTCATTATTATATATTTCATTATATAAATGAAGAGAATAAGTCGAAGAATGGGTTGTTAGTGTCTACGTTCACGGGTGTTTGTATGTATTCATTTGGGTGTGGATGTGTGGATGAGGATATGTCTGGATGGCTGTCTCGCTGTCTCTCTCTCTGTCTATAAGCCAGTTTTGTCTTGCCGATCCATTTTAGGCAATACCTGTTGGTAATGAAGCCTGCAAGTCGAGCCGCCCTTGCTGTCCCCCTCGTGCGTGATAAGCCTGGGGGAGGGTGGAAGGAGAGGGAGGGAGAAGGGATGAGGGGGGAGGATGAGAGAAGGAGGGAAGGAGGGAGGGAAGAGGGTTGGAGGGGGAGGGAGAGAGTTGGGAGGGGAGGGAAGAAGAGAAAGAGAGAGGGTGGGAGGGGGGAGAGAAAGAGAGTGGGAGGGGGAAGGAAAGAGAGAGGGTGGGAGGGGGGGGAAGAAAAGAGGGTGGGAGGGGGGAAAGAGGGTGGAGGGGGAAGGAAAGAGGAAGGTTGGTGGTGGGAAGGGAAAGAGGTGGGAGTGGAGGGAAGAAGAGAGGGTGGAGGATGAAGGAAAAGAGGGTGGGAGGGGAGGGAAAGAGGGAGTAGGGGAGGGAAAGAGAGAGTTGAGAATTGTTGATGCTATTATTATTATCACCATCATCATCATCATTATTATTACAATTATTATCATGATCGTATGTATGCGTATAAACTACCCCCACCCCTCCTCACACAGACTGTTTTTCTTAATGGAGCTTCGAGATCTCAACCGACAGCGCGGGTGTCGTTCGCTGAAGGGTCTTGGGTTCGCGTCTCGTTCGTTCGGGAATTCCACAAGTTAAAATTATCATTGGTGTTGTTGATGTAATTAACGTTTTCAGTATTACTGTAAAAAAATATATTAGTTATTTCTTATTTGTATTATATTTTTTGGTATCATTATAGTTGGTATTATTATTAGTTATTATTGTTATTGTTATTATTTTTATTATTATTATTATTATCATTCATTATTATTATTATATGTATTTTTTTATTATTGTTATTATTATTATTGCCATTATCTTTATTATTATTGTCATTATGCTTATTGTTATTATCATTATTATTATTATTATTATTATTATTATTATTATTATTATTGTTATTATCATCATTGTTATCTTTATTGTGTGATAAAATCGTACAGCTATTTTTATAATAAAAGCTTTAATAACAATGACAATAACAATGGCTTTAATAATGAAAATGATAAGGGTAACAATAATGATAATGATAATGATAATGATGACAATGATGATCATGTGTCGTATCAGTAAAGGTTGTTCGGCATTTCATGTGACCTGCATTTATAG